CCTGATTCGCATGAGTTTACCGACGAAACCTGCATTACTCGGGTGCAGTTACGCCGTTAAGCCTCTACGCCCTCAAATACGATGTTGGCCTCTGGGTGTATCGACAGCGCACGGTCACAAAGTGCCATGTTTCGAAAATCTAAATCTAAAAGTCCTAGTTCGAGTATACTGCCAAAGCCAATGGCGCAGAAGGGTTTTAGCCGGCCCCGGAGTAATTATCTTCAGACTGTTAAACCTAATGGTTTTGACTCCATTCGAAGAGTGACCCCGTTTCCTCACGTAGACACATTCACGACGTCCACCGATATGACACCAAGTACTATGGCACCCTCACTAACCAACAGAAAGGTGGGATTCGTACACCAAGGTGGTAAAAAGAGAGTGAACATGCGTAAGAATGTTCAGAACACAAATGCCTCCCATAGTCACGGAGACAAGGGCTATAGGAGAAACGATAGGTTTTTCTCCTCACACCCGTCTACACAACATTTAAACCCAATGCACGATTCCCCCAGTGCAACGATATCACCTCCTAGTTGGAGACCTGCTGTTCAGATGCAGCCTGTGATACTGGCTCTCCAGCATATTGCACCCCACCCCTTCCCATACAGAAGTGAAACCACAGGTTTACTTGGCTCATTTCCGCAGACACCCATACCCAGGGCTCATTCTGGAAACCCAAATTTTCGCGGACTTCAAAAATTATTAGCGCCTTTTGCTGTTCAGATGATGACGCTATCGAATTAGCTACTCACAACCGCTACAGTGGTGGGGAAGATGCTATGCCAACCTGTCATCCTTCCGGCTCATACACAGTGGGTCAACACCTAACACAATATCTTATTCCCCTATTATGTCCCCGAAATTAAATTCTACCCCATGCTCCTCACCACTACAGTCCCAACTAACCTGCAAGAAAACGCTTTCCGAAAACAGGTTTAGGTACTACTGCTTATCCAATTCTTTAACCTTCTGTCTAATTAACGCCCATTCCATATGCAATAAAATAAGTGAGATCACAGTGTTGTCGACTATGTCTAACCCCTGCCTAATATTTATCATTGAAGCTTGACGTACTCCAGACACTCCTGATTGTGATGTCTCTTTCGACAGTTATACTGTGTTTAGGGGGAGACAGATATAGTGGTAGAGGTGGTGGTTGCATCATTTCTACCAGGTCCGACATTGCTGCGACAAATTGTATTACTTCAGAACTTGATTCACTCAGTGTGGGCTATGGAGAAGTTTACAAATTCTATAACTATTCTCTTACGGTGTATTTACCGTCTCCCTCGCCCTACTGTCGATTATGACGACAGGCTTGCAGAAGTGTTCACCCATGTAACAACACTGCCCTACTCCATGAAATTTATATGCGGTGACTTTAATATGCCTGACGTCAAGTGGCAGACACTTACTTCGCCTAGGTGGTTTGATAATTTTATTAATGTGTTGGATTCTGGAGGATGGCGCTAACGTTTAATGCAACCAACTAGACGTAATAGCATACTTGACCTAGTTTTCACGAATGGATTATTGCCTCTCACTCTTCAAGTTGGTCCAAAATTCCCGGGCAGCGATCGCAGAGTAGTGTTTGGTGACTTCCAACTATCTTCCAGAACCACGTTAGCTCCCAGGCCAAAAACAACCACAGACTATATAAAAATGCCATCTGGAAAGAGATACAATACACGTTGCGATGCTTGGACTGGGGCTCTTACTTCACCAGTAGCTCAACACATGAACCAAGTGACATCTACAGTTCCATGAATGTAATTCACGATCACATTGCTCCGGAGGTATCAGTATTAATTAGAAAGCCGAAAGTGAATTTCATCCTTGAAAAAGTACGTATCAACATGCGCAGACATGCCAGAAATTTCTATCGATCTAATGACTTTTCATCCCTTGCCTCATTAGAAATTGCTCATGAGAACTTCAAATCAAATAAGTTACTGGAGGCAATCGAGCAAGAAACTAGCTGCAACGCACAAACAGGAAATGCTCAATCATTGGTGAGAATTCTAAAACCCCGTGCGAACTTATCTAGAGTTATTCCCAGTAGTCTGATCATTGACGGGACATTATTTATGATGACCCAAGTGAGATCTGTCAGCCGTTTAGCGAACATTATGCAAGCTGCTTCACGCGCGAAGATAGTGTACTAAACCTACAAATGCCCATTCCACCACACCAATCACTAAGTAATGTTTCCTTTACACAAAGAAAGATGGATGATGCAGTTGCTTCACTAGAGGACTCACATTCTGCCGGATCCGATGGGATCCCGTCTGTTCTCCTTAAGAGGGGCAGTGAAGACATACCGTTGATCCTCATGAAGCTATTCTCAATATCCCTTACTGAGGCATGCTACCCTGACCGCTGGAAGCTGTCTTACATATCTCCCACGCATAAACCTAGGCCGACGTCAGAAATTCAAAATTATCATCCCACAAATATTACATCTGCGGTCTCTCGTATCACGGAGAAGGTGGTTGTGCAAGAAATCAATGATTACGTGGCTGCGCATCGGCTACTTTCCTCTATGCAGCATGGTTTCTTAAAAGGTCGTTCATGTAGCACTTGCTTATTGGATTATTTTGAGGAGGTCACCTGCGGACGAGATGAAGGTCTTTTCGTAAGTGCTCTATTTTTTGACTTCAAAAAAGCACTCGGTAAAGTACCTCATAATAGGTTAATTCTTAAGCTTCAGTCATTTGAAATTAGTGACCCTCTATTATCATGGATAAGCTCATTCCTTAGGCAGCGTACTCAAATAGTAAAGTTTAGTCAAACCTATCCCTCCCCACAGACTATTCTGAGTGGCGTCATTCAAGGTAGTGTGTTGGGACCCTTACTCTTCCTCCTTTACATAAATGATATTTCTAACATGATAAAATTTGGTAAACCCTACCTGTTTGCTGACGACTTACAAATTGTGTATAGTTTTCCCCACTCATCGCTAAGTGAGGGCTTTAATGGAATCCAGGAAGACCTGACGAATTTGTTCGCTTGAAGTGAAACATGGCAACTATCACTTAACTCTAGTAAATGCGGAATTCTCTGTTTCAACAACTCTTATCCAAAAGTCAGTCTACACCCTGGTGATTCTGTGCTGCAATCTTATAACTCAGTATGTGATTTAGGTATTAGGTATTCTCGGAACTTAACGTTTACGGAATATGCCCAGTCACTTGCCTCCAGGTGTCGGCGCTCAGTTGGCCTTTTGCTTAAACACGTACGTACCACTGAGGCCAGACTGCTTTTATTCAGGGTAATGATCCGCCCAGTACTTGAATATGGCACAATCATCTTCAGCAATATGTATGCTTCGGATAGGATACTAATTGAGAATGTTCAAAGAAAGTTTGCCCGCTGTGTACTGGGCCGTCACGAAGAACTTGATTGAGGGAAGGTGTAAGAAACTAAAAACTAACCCACTTTGGCTAAGATGTCTATTTTTCCGCCATTTGCATGCCATTACCGACGCCTTTTGCGCTCCTACTTTTAAGCCTATGTCCTCATATAGTCTACGCAATCGTGAATGCACTGTACCTGTAGAAAAGCACCGCCTTAAACTAAGGTCATGATCCTTTATGTTGCAGTACAGCAAGTTATGGAATAAGCTTCTACATTTTATTCGCTCTTGCATGTCCGCATTTCAGTTTCGACGTCTACTCAACGATTTTTTCTTTTCACAGATCTCTATAAATTTCTTGACATTCATATTATATCCACAAGTAAGAAGCCTAGTGGAGCAATCGGCACATAACAATGGTCAAGCCATTGCGCCCACTGTGAACGTACTCAGACCTCTAAATGTAAGAATCGGTTTTAATAAAGCCCTGCAGTCCCTTTAATGCAGATGGCTTTACGACTGCAAACAAGAGTGCGAATACTGGATCCTATCCCAATAATGAGCTTGAAGAATACTCTTCACCTCTAAAAGCCACTACGGTACACCCCCCAAATAAAAACTTAAGGACCTTATAATGGAAGAACTATGTAGTTGACTTCACATGTATACATGAAAATGTACATCAAGTCCGGATAATTAAAAAAAAGAATAGAGACTTATTTCTTCTGCAAATTTGATAGAGTAGTACTTTCCCTTACCATATCTGCTCGTGCCTCTTCTTTCTTTCCCCATTCGCAAAAACAGCTGCAAGTCGACATTTGATGTTCAAATTCAGTCTAAACACGATTACTTTATGGGATTAATACCTGCTCATCGACGCCAATAATTATTGGACCGCTCCAAGTCTCCCAAATTCTGGACCATCTTTGTGATTAACTCACCTACTGGTCATGATTTTTCTTGCGACGAACCGTCTGACCATTCCCAACAGTATTAGCAGCAGAGACATCCTGAACAGATGGCTAAACCAAAGACCAATTAACTTATATATATGAGCCAACATTGGCTCAGGACGTCACTTACCTGCAATGGCTCCACACTACACATTTTCTAGTACTCTGTACCAGGAGACCTTTTCATATGGAACTTACTATGCATCAAATACACTTCTCGAGTGATGCCGCCTATGTTAATACAAAAGATACCCGAAGTCTATGTGTGAGTACTGCCACTTGGACTACTGACTATTTCAACATCTATTTTCATCCAATACAACAAGTATTCCCAGCAGAATTAATCTATATTACCTTTAAACGTAACGTGGTGACATGGAGATGCATTGATATAGCCATACACGTTGGTTATATAACTGTTATATAATCACAGTTATTGAGACTTATAAATGTTTTGGATATCTACACACAATTCAAAGCAAGAAAGAAATAGTCTTATAGATGTCAGATTTATTATGCTGTCCTACTTAATACAAAAAAGACACCTTGTGCCATCTTCCCTCTATTTTAAGTGGTCATAATATGAGACAGTAAATGTGAAGTTGTGATTAGGTTTTTTACCTAGTGTAAGGTATGGTGAGCTAATGAAGTTATTTATTGAACGCGCTAAGTTGGGCCATCATATGGTCATGGTGAGTATTAGTCTAGGCTACAGATCTACCAATGAAGAAGCGTTTCGATACAGATCTTAGGTTTCTGTCAGCCGTGATCAACACGTGGTTGATATATGGAGGACAAATATGCAGTTGCCTTCGTCTGTCATAAAATCTCGGGCACATCCTTCGCCCACCACTTTGTTTTCCACGCCCTTTCGTTGTCACAAAGACGTCACAAATGGTTGAGAATGTGGCCTGTTGGTTGATTCTAACAACAAATATATACTTTTTAGCAGTCTGTTCACCTGCCAAGGTCAGACATCGACAAACGGCTACAAGCACTCAGATACGCTCCGGCAAATAGTGCTGTACCACTTCACAACATCAGATGGTTTAAAGCAGTACCCTAATTCTGCTCTGATAATAACTAATATCCCCTTTTTCAGTAGGATGTCTCTTTTTAGCACATCGTGTATCATATCAGAAGTATATATGGATGGGAATGAAAGGGCTTGAAATTTGAACGAAGACAAGCCGTGTCAAAGCACTAATGAGTAAGTGAATGATGTCTGAGTTTACTTGGGCAAGTTTGTCACCTACAAGTATTTGGCACTATCTGCGGTCGAAGCTCTAAAATGAATGTCCGTTCGCTAAATAGTATCGCTAACAGGTCTGTCACCTTTTGAAAGACATACATCTTTATCCACTTTCGTTACTTTCCACAAACACCTGGTGAAAATACCCACCGTCGAATGTCTGTTCCACAGTCACCAGACGCCTGAGAGGAAGAATCATGGATCATGTAAGGGCTAATGGATTATTCGGACGAAAGTTAGTAGTTAATGAAATCACTCTCCAGATCTCTGGTGTGCCTAACTAACGTGAACAAAAAGACAAACATCGCCTGAACTTCCGGTTAAGCCAGAAGAATAAACAGTAGGACGAATTCAGCTCTCAGTATGAGTTCACCCGAATATTCCTGAAGGGTGGCAGCGCCACAGGTGAATAGTAGGGGAAATCAGCCAAATTTAATTAATTAGATAAATTTTGGAAGACAATTTGTCAGTGGTGAACTAGCGAACGACAAGTGGACACTTATTAATCGCCTGTGAATCGGATGTCGCTGGTTACGGAGCTGACACAGCTATGTGCCCCTGGAAATAACTCTGAGATAACTCTCTCGTCACATGCAAATCGTGTTGCCACATTTGCAAGTACCTGCAGAAGTGGAGGCTGCAATGGATTACTTGGTCTTACCTTTAAATTTCATGGCTTCTTCGGAGAGGTAGTTCGCATAGCTGGGAAATGAAGCCTTTAAACCGGTCAGCTACAACCTCTTGGGCTTTACACAGTAAGGCAACAGACACTTTTGAGCCCACCATGGACAGTCAATAGAGCAGAAAAAGCAGGTCACTCGATATGCATTTGCGTTTGAAAAGTTCCTTTAGACGCGGAAGTCCTGACCTTAAGAAGTTACTGTTCCTCATCCCGATGCTCTCTGAAGTAGCTTGGACGCTATTCGAGAGTCTGCTGGTACAAATGGAAGGAACTCGGGAAGCCTGAAATCATTTAACGGGCCTTAGGAAACAACGCTATCAGAAAGGAACTGAATAGCAATAAATAATGCTTTTCTTCCTTCCGGTTTATCTGGATCAGTATAAGAACTGCGACTTCAATACGGAGAATGAATTAGAATAACAACCAAATAGAATCCAGTCGACAACAGTTTATCATCTTTAACACACAAAATTTGGGGCTTTGCACTGCATTTTCTACCATATTCATCGAAATTTTCCTTGGTACTACTTTCTTCTGTTTCCCAGATTTGTGGTATTTCTTTTCCTTTTCACTACACTGTTCTTTAGTCTTTCCTTTTATTGGCCGTTTTCTAAACCGTGAAAACATTTCCCCTTAAGTCCGAAAACCCCATCAGCCCCTCGGTCCCAGGATAAGGCAAACATCTAAGGATAAAGTTGGTAAGTAAGAAACCCTATTACCTGGCTTTCTGGAGCTACAGATGACAAGTGATTAAATCTGCCTCATCGGAATCTACCAAAGATCTAGGATCCCGATAACTCATTTGAAGTTGGGGTATGTACACTGTGCAACTCCATTCTGAAAGACTTTGATAAAGCCCCTTCTCTTGATGCTTTCCGAAGGTAAGATGCACACTTGATATCAAATAGTGCAAATGAGCCGAAGTTAAGAGGCCCTCCGTTGTCTTTTAGACAGTGAGTTGTAGCGCTACCAAAGGAGAACTGTTTAATTGACGGTGGACTGTATCTTTTTTTCAAGTCCTCCGGAACAAGAAAAACAACTATGACAACTTGAAACAAAGAAAGTATTACACCAATGCAGGCCTCTAACACAAGCGCCTTGAGTTGTGACGTGTTTCGCTCGTCTCTCAGCTTTTGGATTTTTCCACAATGAAAAACTCCCCATTTCAATACTCAATCTAAAAACATCGAACGTTTGCAGCACTTCTGTCCGTCCACGCACCTCACCCCTGCGCATTCGTCAGCTCACTCCTCAACAGTTGAAAATTGGCATTATTATTCCTTTGAACCAACCGGTCTACCTCCTGTCAGTGGTTCTTGGGCGTTTCAGCTGCCAAACTGCCTTAGCTCTCGGTTCTCCTCGGAGGTCATTCCCCAGGAAATATCTTCCCTGGTTATACATACGCATCTGGAGCTTACGGTTAAACTCGTTGGTCAAGAGCAGAGGATCAAGTGACAAGTGTCTGAAGGTGAGCCAACATAAATTATCTTCCCTTTTCTATTCTGTCCTTTTCCTGCATTCAGTCTTCAACCCTCTTATTGTTGTTAACTACTTGTTTTCCCAAGAAGTTTATATCATAGCGACATGTCTGCCCAAAACGCTAGGTCTGAAGCTTTGACACGGATAACGCGGTCGTGCACAACAACGGCCAGTAACACCCTAAACAACACACTAGTCTGTACTAGAAGACAAACAGAGGTAGGGCAGAACATCGAACTTCTGAAGAAGTGGCCAACCCATGTTTCTAGAATTCCAGTAGCCATCAGACAGGTGACACAGAGTAGCACTCACCCGTCACAAACTAGTCCTATCTTGAGCAAGGATCATACCATGCCTGAACATAGAAGACGACGTAAAAGGCTTCAGAACAAGGCAGCCACAAGCAGTTCGCCACAATCCGTAGCACCTTATTCATGGAAGGAAGGCTGTATTACGACACCCGATGGCTGCAGTGTTTGCACCAAAGTTGTTTCGGTAGTCGATGAGGCATTTGCATGCAACCTGTGTCAACGATGGGTGCATTGCCACTGCGATACCAAAGTCCCCCGACAATACTATAAGCTGATGAAGAGACAACCATGCAAGTGGTTCTGGTACATCTGTCCAGAGTGCAGGAAAATGCCCGCACTCCGCACAGAAAGCCTGAAGGAGATGCTCTCCGCCACGCAAAAGCTACCAGCATCCCCGAATAAGGTAGGGTTAACACCAAAGGATAACACAGAGAGACCTGGAAACAGACCTAGAGCTCCAGCTGTGGGCACGCCATCTCGCGTGGGGACCATATTAGGTCAAGTCTCCATACCCCCACCCGGCCCCAGGGGACGTCAAGCGCATGGCCAAAGACATCGACCGCCGAAGCCTCTACGAAACCCATTCCGAACACCCCACACACCGTGACTGAGAAACAACCAGTGGAATTACTCAAACCCATTGGTAAGTCGGGCGTGCCACCCACAACGAACCCAGGTCACAGGAGGACCAACTCGATCATTTTGTTCAACGTCGATGTATCGACAGACTCATTGTTGGTCGAGAGGGAACAATTTGACAGCCGAATGTGGACCGACTACTGTCAGATGCTGGGACTCCCTCCCCTCCCTGCAACTTTGTGTCGCCTTTCTCGAGGAAGCCATGCACCCCGAGATAAGCCCCCCCTTTACGTGTGTCCCTAAATACCGCCAAAGAGGCTGAAGACACACTCCTCCTCTCACGACAACCGGACGTTGTTAATGCCTGTAAAATTCGGGCCAGGCCTGACAAGCCATGGTCAGTAAGAGAGGAGGAGAGAAAGTCAGCGGTTGGAAATCCCAACAGAAACAACACTATAGTTGTACATGGGATTCCAGAATTGCCAAGTGACAGCTCGGTCAAAGATCGGTACTTTCACGACGTCCAACAATGGCAATGGCTCTCAACCAAAGTTGGTCTCAACAGTATACCGGCCAACAGCGTCAGTAGACTGCCAAGGCCAGCGCACCTGAAGACCATACCCAATCCCAGACTACTTGCCGTCCAGTTCGACTCATATGCCTCCCTCACAGACGTTCTGCACGCATGGTATAATGCGAAAGATCGCATGGGTGGCTCAATACGTATATGTGAAAGTAAGCCTAGACCCACAAGGCAAGAGGAGAGACGGCAACCACCAAGACCTCTGGAGTCAGTGGTCGTCACACAGGCGCTGACCAGTGAGTTAGATACATCAAGTAAAGAAGCCACCACTGCTACAGCCCCCACCCAAGTTAAGAACAAAACACAAAAAAACGGAACAATGCCAGTCCTATGAGGACTGGCGAGGCTAAATTCAACCACGTAAGCGCTCATCCCGCGAAAATACACATCCAGACCTCCCCCCTCATCAGGTACACTCTAATATGTATGTACAGCAACGTTAGGGGGCTAATAGGGAAGGTAGCAAAAATGAGGACGCTGCGTGAACATCAGCACTCCGACATCATATTCATCACCGAATCCTGGCTCTCATCGGACATCTCCGACGAAGAGATGCGTGTTGCTGGCATGGAACTCTTCCGCAGGGACAGGGAACATAGAGCAGGAGGGGGAGTGGCTATCTACGCAAACTCCTGTTTCAAGGCAAGGATGGTTAGCGATACGGCCTTAACCCAGCTCCCAGAGTCTCTATGGTGCTACTTCACTCTCTTCTTTATTCTCTCTTCATTCCTTTACCACTACCTTACTATTCTCTTTCAGGTACCTACACAGACAGGAGTCATGGCAGTTCTCTAAACTTCCCAGCAACCCGTAGCTCCCTAATCACTCTACAAATTACAACCTACTAACCCACAAAACATCCACCTCACCGAAGCTAAAAGCAAGAAAGCAGAGGGGATTTCCTCGTCCACTGCAGGAGTAAACCGAACAACTGGAACCAAGCCCTAAGAACTAGACGCGAGAGATCAAAAACTACTAGTTTTCTACGCTCGCACTATCAATATTGGATATTGGATATTGGAAGCGCCTAATTCAGTTTCCCTCCCAAGTCAGCTGGTTAGGATTAAAGTATTCAGTATTCAAAAGGGTAGGTGCAGTCATAATTAAGCTTTGTTTGGTTTCCCGTGGTGCACTGAGCCAAAAATTGTCAAATTTAAGTATTCATTTGCATTCTGTGACGCCAATAGTTTATTTAGAAGCAACGGTTTTCTTAAGTACTTATTCATCGAGTTTTGCCGTGTGACCGATTACATGCTACTGAAAAGGGAATGATCCACAGATCTTGATGCTGTTTTGCTATCACTGGATTTCATCTTGCAACATATCTAGTAGTCCTTGCTAGCCTCGCGTAGTCCAATATCCTTTTACGAGCTAGTGTAAACCGGTTGATTTATTCGCGCTCGCTTCTAGGTCTTTGGTGGATTCCGATGCAGTAGGTCTACCCACTCGACTGCTGTAGCTCTAGTTAGACTGACAGGCGGTTGGGTGTTGATTAAATTTGTAGGGAGTCTGCGTTGTTTTTTTTTAAGGGCTGTGTTGCAGATGGATTCCTCAAGTGTTGTACCAGCAGACAATTGCTCGAACTGGTTGTGAAAAAAGGGATAAAAAATATGTCCAGAGAAATCAAGGGACAGAAAGTGTGGATAAAAAGACAATAAAAAAGAACGATTAGGAAAAAGGAAACGGTACGGAAGGAGAAATATCGGTAGATTCATTGGAGAGGAGTGATGGGGAAAGCTTTTATTAAAGTGTGAAAACGTGAATGCAGTAGGAAGAGAAGGAGAAAATAATATTACAGGATGGCCTATGGGAATAAAGATAATCCTATTAGTAGGAGATGGTAACTGGAGGGGACGTCTATAGGGAAGTATAAGATTGAGCTGAGTTCGCAGTGGTAGTGGTGTTACAACCTATTCGATAATGAGTTGGCCGTATTGAGTTAGTAGGTCGTGTCAGCCTAGTTCATATCCCAGCTGGATGAGCGAAAACCGTGCGTCACTGCGTAACTGTTCAACCTCTTCTTGAAGCTGTCAACATACGGAGCAGTAGCGATCTCGGCAGGCAATGCGTTCCAGTGGCCGCAAACTCGCAGGGAGAAGTGTGATTGCACACGGGTTTTCGCCCTCTGATGGACGATTCTCCTCGGGTTACCACGAAGATTGCCATAATAGCCCTTCGGTAGGATTCCACTGTTCGAATGACTTGGGTTACTGAGTATTTTGTAAGCCGTTATCAAGTCATCACGTAATCTACGGTAATTTGGAGAGTAGAGTCCTAGATCTTTCAGCCTGTCCTCTTAGGGTTTTCGCCTCATTCCCACGACACCCTTTGTAGCTCGCCTTTGGACTTTCTCTAGAAGGTTCACATCTCTTTTCAGATATGGCGGTCCAATGATGTTGTGGACCTCTAAGTGAGGTCGTACAGCTTGTACAGCTTCAAAAAACGTTCCGGGGTCAGGGCACCTAGTTGTCTGCGCATGTAGTGTAGTATTGAGTGGGCTCTGGTGGCGTCTCCTGGATAATTGGAGCTAGTTCTAGCCTGTCAGTTAGTACTAGTCCTAGGTCTTTCCCCTGGTGGTGTGGGAAAGTTGTGTTCCACAGAGAGAATAGGGTACCTTCTGAGAGTCAGGGGTGCGGAGAAGCATGGCTTGGCACTTATCCAGATTAAATGCTAGTCCATTGATATCCACCCACTCTGCAAGTAATCTGAGATCACTGTACAGTTGGCTTGATTCTTTTTCAGACATCATAGCTCTCCATAACTTAACATCAGCGTAAAGTAGGATTGGGGAGCTGAGATTCAGTGGGAGGTCGTTCACAAAAAGAAAGAATAGCAGTGGACCCAGAATTGCTCCAAGTGATGATGTCCTCCAAGTCGAGCAAACTCTGTTAGCTTTTGTGCAGAATTGTCTGCCGTCTAAATAGTCCTGTAGCCAGGAGAGCATTTGACCTCGATGCCCAACCTTAATACCTTGTGAACAAGAATGGTATGTGGAATTGTGTCAAAGGCCTTGGTAAAATCCAGGAAAACGACATGAACAGGAATTTGGAGGTCCCAACATGCTGTCCGCTTATCACCGGCCGCCAGAATGTTTGAGGCGCAAGATCACTTAGTGCTCCCCTCTTTTCCAAGTACTCTCTGACATGGTTGTCTACCAGGCTCTCCATCGATGTAATATTCTCCTGGTTTCCCCTTTTAAGTTTCGCCTTCCCTCGTTTGTCTTACATCCATTTCAGACCTTAAAACCTGAATGTGCTTTGTTGTGCCTGATAAATTTAGACCAGTAGCTGCAGCTTTAAGTTGTGTTAACGAATTGAATGTTAGTTTGCTTTGTCGATTCGTATGTAAATATGTGCATACATATATAAAAGTCAAGGTGGTTTCAGTCTACAATAACAAGAATGTGGATCATGGTCCAAACAGGTTCTGAGATAGACTTCGGTAAAAGCTACCTAATGGTATGAACAGAAGTCAATGGATGAACTTATTTTGAATATGATTATATTAAGCGTATGAAAGGGTGGGGAAACTTAAAAAGGGGAGAAAAGAAAATCCAAAATAAACATGTGACGTTTTTCTTTTAGTCTTACTAAGCCAAACCATCAATAAAGTCTGGAAAAATTTCTTCAATTGGTGTCGAAACTCTGTAGTCAACTACATCTAAGGTTTGGGTTTGAATCCCGTCGAAGAGGTTCTGTGGGATACGGGAAATCACTAGACACCGCCTTGTTTACTCTGCGACCACTCAATGACAGACAGATAAAATCAACGCAGAACCTCGCACATAAGTGTATCCGTTCAAGTTGCCATACTTCGTAGTAGTATATAAAGACAGGTGGATAGAATAGATATGAAAATGGGCAAGGTTTTGAGAGAATAAACACCTTGGAGATGAAGGTTGATATGAAGTTTAGAAGTCAAGGAGTGAATACAACTGTCCCACTGCGACCGATTTTCGGCCATGTCCCTAGGAGTCCCCAACCACTGATTCCTGTCATTCTACAGATCCCGGCCAAGTATTAGAGTCCTGTTTAACGTTATATACTTGCTTGGTATTCGCTTCACAGTCAGGTAGTTGCAACGTCTCACAGTCAATAGAGTCAGATAGCACCTTATGATCAAGAAATATGGCGTGTTTTAGAACCTGTCACAGTCAAAAATGTTATCGATCTAGCTTCGTCCAGGTTTGAAATCTGCCTGGTTTTCTTGATCTCCAGTTAGGCGTCGAATAACTATGGAACCCAGGATATCAGTTAAAATGATTCCCCTAGGGTTGTCACAAAGACTTGTCTCTCTTCCCATAAACCGAAATGATCAATGAAGTCTACTTGTCTCATGAGGCTACCTCTGGTTCTTATATATTACTTAGTACCTCCCTTGCTTTACTGAATAATTTCCTGCCTCTGTCCTTAAAAACCATCAGATCCACTTGCTTTGCATCCTTTCAGGTTCGAAAAAGCTTTCGCAACTTCGAAAAGCTAGCGGACCTGTATCTACTTCTTACTTGAGTTCAGGCTGGATGCTGGGCAACTAAAGTGTTTCTGTAGGCCAGCTGAAATTTGCTTCAGAGTGTACCGCCAAACGTTTTAACCGTCTTTCCTGAAAGGCTGATAGGTCCCATCCTTTCTGATGGCGTTCTCGCTAAACATCTTGTTCTTCACAGTATCCTTAATAAGCCTAAATAATTGCCGGGTGTTATCTAACACTGTCGCTTTCTCCATCTTTTGTGGGGCTGTGGCTTATTAGTTTAGGGAGTTGACTTTCAGCCAATAGGTCATGAGTTCGAACACTGCTCCATCTATCGAGGTTGGGGCAGACAGGTAGTGTCATCAGTTCGTACACGATAGGTGCGGCTCATTCCCAACTGTAGGAATGTGCACAAGATTGCTGAGAGTATTTCGATTCGATTTCCAATCTCCTTTGGTTTCACTACCCACCAATGCTCGTGATCGTTGTGAAGACTCTTGGTCAACTTACGTTTATGCTGCTTTCGTCCTTTCTTGTCGTGGTAGTTGTCTGGAATCAGTCTTCTCAAGTCATTTCGGATGATGATGGGGAAATGTAATGATGTTTACTAACCTTTGGGGATTAAACTACTCCCTGCAGGTTATCTGGTTGATTTGGAGTGTACAGATGATACTGTCCTGCTGGGTGAAGACGCTGACAAAATGTAGGCTCTTCTGAATGCATGGACCAGAAATCTGAGTATACTTGGCATGCATTCCTTACCTGTCAAAAGTAACATGACGCTCCAAAACTGGTCTGCAACCATACAAAATTGAATGATAAAGAGTGAAGTGGTGGAATGTGTTGACCACTTCATTTAATTGGTGACTTGCATCACCCTGAACAGACTAGTTGCTGAAGAAGTCTCAGCTTGTATACAGAAGACTAGTTTGGCATTTACCAACTCGCGTCAACTTTGGCACCAACTGGCGATCTATCCGACAATGTATCAAAGGATGAGTATACTTCACTGCAGTTTGTTCTGTCCTGTTACACGAGTGTGAGACACGATCGTTGAAAGTAGAATAAATGAATCGGTTTCATGATTTTGATCACATGTATGTTCGTTGCATTTCTCTCATTTGATGGAATCTCCATGTGAGTAATGTTGAAGTCGTATGTAGTCGGTAATAGTCAAGATAGGCAAGTGGATTGATGAGGTTTTGAAACTTCATTAGTTCAGATAGCTTGGACGTGTATTCGCGTGTTTAGCCATCGCCTCCCTCAACGGGCAATGCCAGAAAAAGCTGCATTGGATTGGAGGTGAGCTCAGGGTGCTCAATGTAGGATGTGGCACCGGTTGATGAAGTTCCTGACTGTTGAACCGAGTAGTGAAACGAGGTGCAAACCAAGACGAAAGAAATCAGTGGTTGAGGACTCTTGGTGACGTAGATGAAAATCGGTCACAATGATGCAGATACACTCTGATGTTTTCTAACGATTGAACACTTAAGTCATCCTTGATTTTCAAATAGTTTCTCCTCCTCTACACCTTTTTCTACTCTGACGTATCTCTTTTTCAATCCAAATATTTTCTAAACGCTCCTGTGAAGTGTGTCAAGTTGAACAGACGCACGTCTG